GTGAGAATTCAATTCCAAATAGTTCTCAATTCCTTTCGTTAACTGTGTTCCAGCTAGCATTTATTTACATTTACATACATATTCAATACAGTCAACTCCACAAGATTACAATCGCTGTCAACATTGACATTTCCCCAATTCGAGAAATTATATCCAAATAATTTCTATACAAGATCTACGGGTTCCGAAATTCCGAAAGTGTTTATTTAAATGAATGCCTAAGCCACAGTGAAACTTTCAGTTCCGAATTGTTCTAAATTCCTTTATGTTCGCTGTGTTCCGCTTGCATTTATTTACATTTACATATATATGTACATACGTACATATATTTGCGATACAGTCCACACCACTGATCTTCTACTAATTCTTAGTATATAATAATAAAAAAAAACATTTCAATTACTGTCCGCAGCTACTACGATTATAAATTTATTTAAATATACTGCAGCGCCAACTTCATTTGTATATTTAATTTATTTACTCTCCCTTGCTCTATCCGGAGCTACACCTAATTAACTAAACATATGTACATACATACATAATCGTCTGCAAGTCGACGCTCGTTATCTCCCCTATTCTGCACTTGCATACGGCAAGTGCACAAATACACAAATATATACACACACACACGTATTGATTCCAAAATAGAGCACCGGTCAATCACATAAGTCCGATAAATAAAATAATTTATAAATTATTTTATATTAAAATTCCAACTAACGAATTAAGTTAGAAATCCATGTGCGCTTTCATATCCGCATTAGTGTGACCGTATATTATTCGCTGCTGACCGGAATTATTGAATTAATTTGCATATTTCCGTTTTAAATTCCAAAGGAGAAAATAAAATTTTCCACAAAAGTAAGTAATTAATATATCAAAAATAATTATTACGAGTCCGATTGGTTCCTAAACTCCCAATCCAGCTTCGACCCATAAATAAATCCGTAAAATATATTTATATTAAATATTTGTAAAAAATATCCAGAATGGCTCCTTCCATTTTATACAAATTTATTTTGATCTGTGACGGTCTGAGTCACTTCGAGTCCAGAGTCTGCAATCCATCAGCACCTTCTCCATCCAAGTACTCTTGCCAAATCCATCTCGACCAAGTCCGAGCGCTATGGGATAAGGTCGAGAAAGATTATTAAGATTGTTCAAAGCGAATTTCAGGTGGCTTAGAGGGCGCGGAGGACACCTTGCCTACTCTTAAGGCAAAATACGACTACTCCTATTTTATTTATTCACGGTGTGCCGCCCAGCTCATGAAACAGATCGATACGATCTCCTCCAAAGCTGCTTCAGTCCAACCTACTGCGCCCCTAAATTCCTTTCCGTCTGGCTTTCCGTCTGGCTTTCCGTCCGGCTTCTTCCGTGCGAAACGGAAGTTTTCTCGGGCGATTATCTTCGCTGGCCGACTTTCCGAGCCCTTTTCACAGCGGTCTATATCGACAATCCTACGCTGACCCCTGTAGAAAAGTTGTTCTACTTAAATGCCAAGACTAGTGGTGAAGCTCATTCTATAGTTTCCAATTCGCCACTCACCAACGACGGTTTCCGCTCAGCATGGAACAACCTATCTGAGCGTTTCGGAAATAAACGCGCGTTGGTAAACAGCCAACTGAAGAAATTACTGAACATACAATTCATCGAACGCGAATCCTCGGCAGCCTTGAAGGAGCTGCAAAATACAATTCAAAATTGCCTCACGTCCCTAACTCTGTCCGGCCTTCCTACGGATAATTGGGATTGTCTATTGGTTTATTTGTGTTCCTCGAAGCTTCCAAAGCTGACGCTCTCATTATGGGAGCAATTCTTAACAAATAAAACCGATATTCCGTCGTGGCTAGAACTCGATTCGTTCTTTACTGAGCGCCACAGAACTCTGGAAACCATCGATTCTCTCCAGCCTCCTACGATACGCCTCAGTCCGTCCAAACCGACAAAATCCTTCGTGGCACCGCGAGTACTAAAATCCTTTAGTACACGGATTGTTTCCATATCCAAAAGATGCGATTTGTGTTCTGCAGAGAACCATCCAGTGCGTAAATGTCCACGCTTCCTCCAAATGACGATAGATAGATCGTACCTCATACATCCGGAAAAAGCAGTTGTGCTTAAATTTCTTTGCAAGCGGTCATCCACTTCGTAATTGCACAAGCGCCCACAGCTGTCTTACTTGTCACGGTGGGCATCACACATTGTTGCATCCAAGCAACACTTCTTCCAGTGTTCCGAATCCTCGTGATGACACACCACAAATTCATCCACCCGTCCAAAGGATTTCCGCGTTCTCCACACGTCCAAAGGATTTCCTCGTTCTCCACACGTGATCACTTCTGCCGATTCCTCCAATTACTGGGTCCCGTACGACGACAGCAAGAGCAGGCGTTCCCGAGGTATTTTATCCTACCAATGCCGAGTCTGCCAAGTGAACCATCCTCTTCGGAAATGCCACCGGTTTCTTCGCCTTAGCGCTGAGAAACGGCTCCAGGTAGCCACCAAAAAGCAATACTGCGACAACTGCCTGGCCCACCACCATTCCGGAGGATCTTGTCGAAGTAACGACCGATGCCAGTCGTGTGGACAGGATCACCACACTCTTCTCCATATCAACGCGTGCTTAGCGTTATCCTACGCTTTCCAGAGCTAATCTTTTCTGGTACTTTTGCTGCGTATCCTCGCAGTGTAGGCAGTGTGATCCCGCTACCTCCGATGATTCCATAAGCGCTCTCTTTCTCTCCCTCTCTCTCCGGACTTCCAGTCCATAGAGCTTCTAATCCGCTCTCCCTAGCTTTAGTTTTGTTCTTTGTTCAGTACCGATTGACCTACGACTAAATAAACATCCCGACGCACGTCGCGTAAAACCCCGAAAAGTCTACGTGTTCTTATTTCGAGTGCATTTCAGGTTAAAGCCGCCCCCCTCCAACACTAGAAAATGAGCTTTTATAATACTATTGAACTTAGGATACAAAAAAAATTAACTTACAGACTAGATACACATAAGGGTTTATGATTTTTCACTTTACTAACGTACACTAACATTACATTGACAAAAAGCCCTTCTTCGATATCAACAATGGGTGATTGAAAAAAAAAACAAGTTACCGAATCTTAATTATGTCGCTCAGTGTAAAGCTTGGTTACCTGGAGAAACGCTAATCAGTTCGCGCAGATTATTTGTCAATTCCGTTTTCTATTATAAAAGAAGTTCTTACATCATAATTGAAGTCAATTTAATGTAATGTAAGCATTGACGGGCTACACTGAGGGAAATGAAACCAGATTTTATTCGACCTTCTTTTCAACTATGGATTTTTTTTCTTTTAAGGGGGTCTTCTCATTGGGCAACTTTTTTTTTCGATTTTTTTTTTTTTGCATTTATTTATAGCTTGGGATGTTGTGTATATGTCCTTAAAAGGATTTTTAGAAATTCGAAATACTTTAGAAGATACACCCTTTTTTGTGAAGCAAGTTCTTCGCAAAATGAGCTTTTTTCAAACTTCAAACGCGTTTATCTCGAAACCACGTTTTTCGAACTGGCGGCCATGATATCTCCAGTTCAACTGAACCGATTTTCATGAAACAAAGTGGAATCGACGCAGAATTGTCACCATTTTCGGCTGACGGAACAGATTTTTAAAAATTTTTTTTTCTATTTTTTTTTACACTAAACTACGAAAAAAACGCCCAAAATCGAATTTTTTTTTTGAATGGCCGCCATTTTGTTTTAAAAATTTTTAAAAAAAATCTGTTCCGTCAGCCGAAAATGACATCTATTCTGATTATAACCCCGTTTTTATTTTTCATTTCGGACGCTCTGGAAACCCTGAATCGTGGCCGCCAGGACGACACCTTTTTTTTCGACCACCAAGTTTGAAGTCCCATTACTCTTTGAGCAACCCTCGTAGCGAGGCAAGAACAACTTTTTTAGTTACTTTGAACATTTTTGAATACAATAAATAAAAAAAGTTTTCAATTATTCTTTGCGTTTTCAAATAAGAATTTTTTTAAAAAGGGTCCAAAAAACGGCTTTTGAATGAGAAGACCCCCTTAACCATGCAACCAAGTAAATAAAACCCAAAAGAAACCAACAAATTTTACTCAATTGATTTAAATATATGCATATCTAATTACATATAGAGTCGTTTGAAAAATATTATGATGAAAACTACGTATGATACGGCGTAATGATAGTGGGAGTGGCGATTAACACCTAACGTTGGCTAAATACAAAATGGGGCCTTTTTTTCACATTATAATTTGGTTCATTTTCTTTTTTTTGTTTTATATAAAAAATGCGCGTTGTTTAGTCTGAGGAGTTGCACTTTACAAAATATATACAGAATATAATATGATATAGTACATTTGCCATACGCCGATAATAAAAATTTAGCACTACAACTCTACCATTGTCATATAAGCCATAATATTGTGCCATGAGAGCTATAGTCGTCCGATGTAGCTAGTTTTTTTTCCCAATATGTTTCAATTAATTTCCTTTTAGATTTTTGGGGACATTTTCATAGCGATATCTCAATGGGAATTATTTATGCCGCCTCTCCGTTCAAGTTCGACCATTGTGATTATACAGAACAGCGGCTATTTCGTGCCTCTTCGATCATTTTCAGTTCAAGTGTTAACCACTTGTTAGCTTTACATAAAAAAAAACAAATATATATATATATATATATATAACATATATATATATATATATATATATATATATATATATATATATATATATATATATATATATATAAAACATATACATATATATATATATATATTCTTTCAGCTCCCGTGAAAGCCGTACATTTTTTTTATATTGTTTTCCGAATTTTATGGACTTCCAAAAATGTATGTTAATTAATAAATTTATCTGTGGTACATAACATTTTCTTTATTAAATAAATAATTTATAATTATTACAAAAGAATTGACAAAAAATATGTTTTCTACAAATTAAAAAAAAATATTTTTTATAATTTAAAAATACACTTGTTTAATAAAATAACTTTAAAAATATCGTTTTTGTTTCTGTACATTTGGAGAAATTATTAACAGATACAAAGAGATGATGGATGCGATATTAAGCTATATTACGATCATGGTTATCGAAGTTAAAAAGTTTACGCTTCAAATTTTCATTTTTTGAAATGGTATACGGGGAGAGGAGCATTGTTGGGATGACATTGTGCGATGACTTAAGTTCAGGAAGACGGATATTAAGTATATTGTTGCTCGGCTGAGGCTCTGATCGATTGTTCCAAATAGGATCGATCCAAAAAGGTATTTTCTGTTGGTTAAGTAAGCAGAATATGTGATACATTTAATGAAAAATTATAAAGTATCGCGTCTTCTTACCTCAGGTGGTGCCGTATTAATAATTTGTGACTCATTTGCAGATCTTATCGATTCGTAAAGTTCCGTAGTGCCACTTCCCGAATGATGACCTCGAGGTTGCACTTGAATCTGATTATGTATTGGTTGCTGATAAAGGCTAGCTTGACGCCGATTCCAGAGTTTTGATGATGAATGCTCATCTAGTGCTACGTCAGCCATAATAGCAGAGCTTGACGTTATATTGGTCAAGTCGCCAGCCCCTAAACTAGCGTTTAGCTCTCCAGATGAGTTAAAGGAACTGTTGAAAAGCCTAAGAGATGAGTCATTCATTGAGTTCTCCTTGTAGCACCAGTTGTTGCACAAACTATAGGTGCCACGACAGGATTCAAGGCTACTTAGCGACGATGAGTTGGTACTCGGTGGTGAATGTCTATCTGGCGCAAGCATCATTCCTCCAGACTCTTGGAATGTGTGCAAGTTGTTCACCTCTGCCTTAAAGGGCAAGCTGGACACGGTCTCATGGGCGATCTCATTAACTATCGCGCGGATTTTGTATGGCGGTGGCGCCTGACTGTAGAAAGGTCGCCTATGCTCTCCCAAGAAAGTACTTAAACTATGTTGCTGGGTTCTAGGCTTTGCATATGGCAACTTTACCGAACCAAACAAATTCTGATGGTTACTTAGGCGTACTGGCAAGGGAAAAAATGTATTATTACTTTGATTATTTATTATAATAAGGGGTCATAAATAACAGTTGATAGTTTTTTTTTTTGCAATTTGTGAACGAATATTATCCGAATATAAATACCGTCGCGGTTGCTCTCTGTCTGAATATAACACGTTATAAGATAATTTATACGAATTTATAAAACTAACCCTGTCTTATCTTTTATACCAAACGGTATACACGTCTGGCTATAGTCATGATACAATTATAATTGTATCATGGCTACAGTAGACGGTCTGTACAGTAGACGGTCAACTGTTATTTGCGATCTGTGATAATAATAGATTCCTAAATACTACTTACGCTCACAGTTGACAGTTAGAGTCACATCACTTCTTTCTTGTGTTGGGCCATTGTTAATTGTAAAGATATCATCATAGGCGGCAACGAGGGAGTATAGGTTGGGAAACCCAAATTCAAATGTGGTGGTGAGGCTACATTCCAGAGCGCCCCTAATCTCATACACGTACATATTAGGACGCTGTTCAAGCAAACGCACAATATTCATTAAGAATTTCATAAAAGCAGTAAGGCGAACACACTGGGTCTCAGTATCGGGGTCATTGTATATCTAGAAATGATATTATATCAATATAGACATATTTACGTAGTACATTACTTACCTCAATCAAATGTCGCATAGCTAAAAGAGCTGATTTGGTGAGCTGTACTTTAAGCTTAGCGTTAATGTCGTTTAAAAATGTTGCGACGGAACACGGTCTGGTAGAATCAGATATCACTAGCAAGGGAGGTTCTCCCGCATCTGAAGAATGATAGGGTTTCTGCTCTTGAAGAAGAAGCTTGCATGCCCGGTAGCAAATAATACGGAAGTCTATATTTTTATTGTGACAAATGAGCCAAGTTTCGTGGTCTTTTTGTTTCACCTCTACGTATGGTAGCATCTCAACTGCCTTGACCATGTTGGAAGATACCCCAAGAGTCTGAGGCTGAATTTGATAGCCATACTTTTTTTTGTGCAGCTTCAGAACTTGATCTAATTTCATGCAGTTAGTAAAGTTACCAGTTGAGTTGTTTATAAGCTTTTCGCATTGCTCCGCAAAGACACGTCTAGCTATAGTCGGCGAGAGCACTATTTTCTTGTCCTCATCATTGGTCACCTCCATGTCTACCAAACCATGAATGGCGTCCAAAAGATCCGCTAATTTCAGGAAACCGTAGTCACTGAGTCGACATTGATAGCCAAAATGGTAGTGGTAAGACCGTACGAACTTTTGAAAAAGAATAGTGTATTGAAGAGCGTTTTGAAAAAGCTCCACCATTTCGCCGGCAAAAAGAAAGGTTTTTTCCAATTCACTACTCGTTTGCTTACGCTTTGGCATTGATATAAGTATATCTTTGCCATTATTAACAGGGTTTAAGACGACGATATTTGAGTTGACAAGACTATCTAGGATATCCACAATGTCGCAAACGCCATAATCTGTAACGTCGAAATTGCGATTTTGGGTTTGACTAAAAGTAACTGGTAGTTGAGATAGTAATAGAGAATTGTTACCAGTAGCACGCAAAACACGAAACAGATCGGAGGTGAATCTACGTATCTGAGTTCGGTGGGTGAGTGTGATTTGACGATATTCTCCGTCACCCATAATTTGTACGACAGATGACAGCGCCTCGAACAACTCGATTAGCTTGGTATAGCCGTAATCAGCCACTCGACATTGCTTTCCGAAATGGTTGTGGTAGGCCGGTATAAAACGATTAAACTTAATGGTAGATTTGGGTGACATCTTAACAAGCTCAATAACCTCACGTGAGATCTGGTATAATGGATCGGCCGCTGAGTTTTTAAAGTAGTTGCTCCGATCGCAAACACTCAGATTGCTTGAGTTATTATTATAGCTGCAGTTAATTGATTCCATTGACGATGACGGCTTTAATTCCTTGTTCAGTTCTAGCCAGCCTAGAATTTTAATGCCGAAGTTGTTCATTTGAACCTGAATGCCCTGGACACAGCATACCAAGTGCTCCAGGTTGATGCCGCTATCGTTTGCCACTATCGACACTTTTAGTTGACCTTCAATGCAATGGATTAGGGTTGCCACTGGAATGTCTCCAGGGTGCAGCTTAAGCAACGGATAGATAAGCTTCTGGATCTCGGAAATTTTCATGCACACATTGGGCAGAGGCTCTAAGTCCTGTTCGGCCCATCCTTTATGCTGCTCTCTTTTGAAATGTACCGTGCAATAGGGAACGCTGTGTTGCAGTCCTTCCATTAAGGGCGAACTTTCTAATGTATTCACAAGCTCAGGCTGCAAACTAATAAACTTTTCCTCCTTGTTGTCCGAATTAATAGTACAGATATCCTGCATTTTATATAAATCCAATACACTTATTGATGTTTTGAAGCGCGACTGAAAAAGTTCTCGAAACTTATACATGGGCAATGTATAGTACGGGACATCCTAAAAAATTAGAAAATAATTTAATTAACTTAAAATTCAAGTAAAGAGATAAATTTGAAGTGAAATAATTTTAATTTTACCTTTAGCAGTCCAGCAACCTGGCAACGAAGTGTATTAACCTCGGTTGTGGAGGAATCGCGCGTATAGCTGACCAACATTCGCTTATGTCCAATCTTTTTGCGGTGTAAATTCGAGACGACCTGCTTGGCAAACTATAAGGAAAAGGCAACTTAAACTATTACTAGAAATAGGTATATGTCGAGAATTTCCTCACATAAAGATCAGGAACAGTAACTTTAGCATACGAGCTTCCCTCGAAAACAAGCGACACTACCGGAGTGATCGGTTTCAGCTGATTCATAAGGAAGCTACGCAAACTGGACTCGTCCAGCGAGTAATCCAAGTTGGTGATCTGCAAAGTCACAGCATCGTCGAAATCAGAGACGTTGGCAAAGTTGCGTCCGTTGTTTTCGTTACCGACTTTGCCGCCCACCACTCCGTTGGCCTCGACGGTGGTGACAACACTAGAGCAAGGCGTAAACTTACTGATGGCTATCGGAGTTTTTTCGTTATTAACTGAATTGATGATGACAGCAGAACGGCAGAACGATCTACTGGAGGCGATTGGGAAAATTGTCGAGGACATGGTTTGCTTTTCGCTTATAGTTCCATTCTGCTGGTGCATTGTTACGTAGTGATAGATATTAGAGGAGCTGCAAGCGCGCGACTCCACAATCTGTTGTTGTGACTGTTGATGTTTAGGAAGATGGGTGCTCACTGATTGATCAACATCGTTGCGGTTAATATTGTAGGGCATGTAACGGGTTCGACGACAGCAGGAAGAGCTACTGCCAGTAGGCATGGTAACGGGCGCTGGTGTGTAATGTGGGAGCCCACTGCTTCCAATATAGAATCGCTGTCCAATATCGGTCATGCTGTTGTAATCAGTAACCGTAGAGCCGCTTAACAAAGCATTGGGAGGGGGCTGTTGATAAAGCTGCGGGTGGATAGCCGGAGCCCTCTGCGTATAAAGTGCAGATACATCTTTTCCAATTCTATCAGAAGGCCAGCTTTAAAATAAGTAAGATCAGTATAATTATAAACATGTTGATTAAGTTAATTGCATTACATTAAGGGGTTATCCGGGTTTTGAAACTTCAAAAAATGTATTTTTTTCAAACTCTTTTATATCGAAAATTTCAAATCGATCGAAATAATACTGTAGGAATGGGAGAAATTTAAAGCCCATCGCGTCGTATGAGTCACAACTGGCAATTCGAACTTAGGCGTCGTTTTTCTCGAAACCACTTTTTCGAAGTCGGTAGTCACGTTTTCTCGAAAACTATTGCACCGATCGACTTCTGCTTTTGCACACTTCTTCTAGACATGTTTTTGTTGTAGTTGAACGAAGGATTTTTTGTATCTTCAATTACAACTCATTTTATAAACCAAAATATGGCAAAAAATTACGAAAAATATGAAACTTTTTATGAAAAGCGCTACGAAAAATTCAATTTTTAATTAAAAAAAATACTTGTTCAAAGGCACAACATACACTAACAGAAAAATTTTGGTTTTTTGATTTCTGATAAAAATGCACGGAGATATTATGACTACTGCAAGGACACAATTTTTGGTGGGGTTAAATTCAAGCCTGCCTCAAGGGCTGATTTTGTAATATTTTTTATTCAAATTTGTACACAATTAAGTTCAAACCTTGTACATTAATGCAGAAAAAATGAAATTTGCAAAATTGTCGTAGGATCTTTTGAAAAAAATTCACGAAAATATGCTTTTTTTGTGCTTCAAAACTTAATAAAACAAGAAAGAGACCTAAATTCGGAAAACTGAAATTATTATACCCTTGTAGTTTGCAATTGGATATATTCGATTGATCTGAAAGTCGATCTAAGAAACCTAACTGGATGTGTACACAAGCTTATAAATAAGAACACGTAAAAATGAACACAGATTTTAATAATATTTTTATTCAGGCCTGCTCCAGTAATCGTAAAATTTTTTCTATTTCGTTTTGGGCGAAAACGAACCGTTTTCGTTTTTAGCTGCTATCTGCTATCGGGATGTTTCGTTTTTTCATCGTTTCTCACTACTCAAGCAGCTAACTTGTGTTTTTGGTAATCGGCAAACAACGTAAAGTACTATTATTATATTTACAATTGCCCTTTTTATAAGCCAGAAAACGGCAAAAAATGCTAGAGTTAAGCAAATCTAGGCATCTAAGATGCTGCCACACTTTTCACAGTTTTAATACCGGTGGTCTCAAATAATTATTTGGTTAATTTGGACTATTTAAGTAATCAAATTAAATAGCATTATTTATAAACAACCATTTTGGCTCTCCTTTAAAGTTATTAATGCATTCATTTATATTTTATAAGTGTTTTTAACTGGCTGTTTCGTTCCACCAACAATATGGCAACCTTGGCGATAACTTTTTGCGGTGAAAACGAGAAAACTGGTTGAACACGGCAAAAATTTTGTTGTCAAATCTGAGGTGGGGTCAGAAATAAATTTTTTATTAAATAAATACCTGCCAGAATGATATTGTGGTGGTGTGGAATAAATATCAATAGACCACTGAGTAAACTATTTTTTTCCTTTTTATAAATAAGATCTGATTTCATATAAAAAAAAACCATTTACTTTTCATTCCGGCCAGAAAAAGGTGCCCGTTTTTCAAATCGAAAAAATCTTTCGTTTTCGATTACCGGAGCACTAATTTCTCGTTTTCAGAAACTAAAACGAAAAAATCTTGCCGTTTTCGATTACCGGAGCAGGCCTGATTATTTTAATTATTATTAAATCATTATTTTAAAAACATTTGAAACAACTCTAACAGAAGTTTTATGCGATAAAACGAAGAAATGTAAATTTTTATATTAATTTCCTATTTTCTAATTTCTCTGTTCATTAAATATGACGGTTTCAAAAAATCGAAATTTATTTTTGCATTAGTCGCTTTCTTAACTTATATTACTATAAGTGATAAAAAGGATTTTTCGATTTTCAATGTCGTTACAAAGTTACATCACTGAAAAGACATGCAGCTTACTCCTGCAACTGGTTAACACGATTTCTCAAAAACGACATGCGGACATATTATAGACTAGGATCATTTGGATAGGTCAAGAAGTTTTTTTTCACTGCGAATAGACAAGAAAAAGGTACGTTTTAATAAAAAAAAATGTTAAGTGGCGCCAAATTTTTATTTTTCAATATTTTTAAATTATCTGAGTCCATTCGCTGTCCGCATTCATCCAGATCATAATTGCATTTAAATTTTTGAAATCGACTTTGCCAGTCGCCAGAATCGTGTTGACCATGACAGTCTTTTCTTGAGTGTAGTATTTCGGCTCCCTACATATCGGTAATTTGGCAATTTTTCGACTAATACTGTCTTCCCACTCAGCGCATTTGTAAGGAACGGTTGGGATTTTTACCAAATGCGAAACTCATGTTCCCACAGAGCTGCGTTAAAGTGCATCCGCATCCAATAACAGCTGATCGCTCAGCTGTGGCTCATGAAAACGTAAACAACGATGGCTGAAGCAGCCGATGTGGGAGTAAAATGATTCGTTTATCAACTATTTAGGCTGTTTAGCAACAGCAAAACCACAGATTGCGTCAGATTTTATCCGCACTAAATTAAAATGAATTAGATTACGAGGAATTTGAGTTTCTCTAATGATTTTTCTCTAACAAGGAGCAAATGCCCCGAAGGGTGTGTATAGGTGGTATAGGCTTCCAAAATCTATCAAATAAAGTAGAGGGAGGCGGTTTATATTAACTAATAGCAATTGGGGTAAGAATATAAAGGAAAACATCAATAACTATTTTGGGCATGTTTTATTTTTCCAACTTTGTTTACATTTTCGTAGTGAATCGACGATGTCTAAAAGAAGAAACCAGAGTTGCACCGAAAAACTATTGCCTAACTATCGCCAACAAACTGTGGTTAAATTTAGATACACTCTAACCGCGGTCCAGCATGAGAAAATTCGGAACGGCAAAACCTTATGGACCGTTTGTTCAACCAACGGTGGATGCGCTTTGACCCTATTATAAACAATTTTGAGAAATACTTTATACTTTACTTTATTACTTTTAAAAACTGTTTCAAATCATAAAAATATACAAAAACTAAGACAATAATAGAAAAAAAAAATTTATTTACGAATGTCTCAGTTAGAACCATGGTTTACAATGGATTATTCGAATCTATGGCGAGCTTAAGTGCAAGAGCCAGGCGAATGAAATTATAATGGGAGTCGCAATAACGTGTTTCGCCTGCTTTATTTATCTTTTGTACTCATTTATCTTTTGATTTAGCTCAAACGTTAAGAGTACCTTCACTAAGGACTTATTATTCGATATCAGTGGACATTCAAATCCCATGATTTTGGCTCATAGTTGGCGTGGTGCAACTATGTAACCAAATTAAGTAGCCGTTAAGCCTTTAAGAACATGGACGAACATGACTAAATATAAACCTAAATCCGGCCGTCAGTCTCCTAAGCCCATACGCGTTATATTGCAATGCACAGTTTTAAAACTTCGGAAATAGGCGAAAAAGAACAAGTGAATGTAAAAGAGTTAGCATAATAGCAATACACAATTTGCGCTCTCGCAAAACCTCTAGGTTCTTTGACTGCGATCGAAGAATAAATTTAAAAAAATGTATACCAATGCACCAACATGGCATACCTATTTTTATATTTTATTTGATGGTTAGGTTAGGTAAATCCGGCCGACCCTCTCAGGGCCTCGGATTTTTCAAACTGTGGCCGAACCTTTGTGCGTTGTGCCGCCTTTCCTGGCTTCAGTTGCGCTTGGATACCTAGGGGATAGATTCCGATTATGGTTTCAAGTGCTTTTGTAGGGGTTAACCTCAGCGCCCTTGGTATGCAGAGCCGTGCCTGCCGCTGGGTTCTCTCCATAAGCTTGTTGTACGTTTCCCTTTCAATGGCTCGCCACCACACTAAGACTTTGCTTAAAAAAAACTAACATAGAACATATAATACTAGCTGCCAGGACCATAGGCAGTCGCGAATATATAATTTTAATGTTTACAAAATTGGTTAATTTTTTAAAATATATTTTGATATAATTCATTTATTTATTCATTTCATTTATTAATCTTTAAGTTTGTTGTTTTTTGTAGAATGGTAAACAAAAGCTGTCCCTTAACTGATTTGATGCTGGTTAGCACTGGAACGTTCTGGCTAGGTCTTCGTCGTGTTTAACCATAACCTAACATAATTAGTGTATGACCTTTCTTTCCTTTTATTACCCCATTATTTATCTTTAATCACTATTATTCATATTAGAGTTTATATGTAATTTTTAGCCTTAAATAATTGACTAGTATTCATAATGGTTTGTTTGTATTAGAGTTAAGTTAGATATGTTAGGTCTTATAAGAACGGTTAAGAATAGTGCTCTTAAAGAAAATGTTTTATCTGGCCATCTGGATCTTTGATTATTAATTCCTCTTTTAACCAATCGTATTAGTCGATTCTGATCTGCTTAAAATTTTTCCAGTAACATCACAATTGCTCTTGCCTCTGCTGCTAATTCAATGAAATTATACTGGACCGGGAAGTCACGCGCTCTTTGACAGTTAATTGTTGTAAAATTTACATATGTATTGGAAAATGCGCCACGCCCACTCATTCACCTTATTAAAGAGTATCAAAGTCAAAAAAATATTTTCTTTTCAATGAAGACCATTTTTTTTTTAAATATATTTTATTTAATTGTTATCCCTATTTTAATGTATTTGCTTAAATAAAAACAATTTGAAAACTGAAACAAAAAAAACGTAACTTTTTTTTAAAATTCTAAGTGTAACCGCCAAAAACCGTGAGCGCTTAGTTAGATTTTTTTGTCTGTATGAAATTGTGTCGGTATTTTGGTATATTTTACACAGAGTTGTTTTGATTTTTTGCTTCGCAATGCCAGAATCGCAGCTTGACGCAGCCGAACTAAACGGATTCTGATTCAGGAAAGATACACGCAGTGCGTAGTCATAGTGGAGTTGCCGGCTCTG